TCTGAACAATTATAGAAATATATTGTTACCAATTTAAAAAAAAAAAAGAATGAATCAATGTCTATACCTAATACAACCTAATACAACTCAGAAAATTTGCCAAGTTGACCATCAAAGAAATCCCAAGTGACAAGCAAGTTGGTGTTGAAGGAATGTTTATTTGCTCTCATTAGTTAGTCTCTCTTTCAGTCTGGCGACGCCATTTGTTATTTATCCAAAAGAAAAATTAGTTAGGATCTCTTCGTTTTTCTCTGAGTGTTTTTAGTTTTGTGTTTGCAGAATGGCATGGTTTTGCAGTTTGATCGGCGTCAAACTATGAGGCCAGTGGAATCTATGACTGGGTTGACAGGAAATCCTGTTCATACTGTGCGTTCCCTTTCAGCTGATCCTACACTTGGTGCTGGCGTTAGAAGTGTTCTTTCTGCATCTTCAGTAGGCCTGTGCCACTGGAACTTTGGTAGCAGTGACGAAAGGTGAGTTCTAGTATGTTTACTTCTTCTAAGTTTCACTTAGTTGTTGCTTCCTGAGGTGAACAAATTTTTCCTTTAATATCTAATATCTTCTGAGTTGCACCATCCCTTACTGTAGCTTTATAACTGTTAGGATCGGATGAATCTTTGCTGAGTAACTGCCTCAAGAATATTTGCACCTTGGAATATCTCTCAATGGATCATTCCTGTAACTTGACAATTTTAATCATTAACTAACTGCAAATTTAGATCTTAGGAATATCCTTAAAGGAGCCTAACTGAAAATTTAGATCTTAGGAATATTCTTAAAGGAGCCTACATTTCCAGTCTCTGAATATATTTTACTTCCTTATTCATATCCTGTACAAAAGATTGAAGTAGAAAAACTAGTGGATGGTATAGAAGAAAGAAATAGTTGAAGGCATTTAGTTGACCATTTTCCCAGTTCTTTTGTAGAAAGAGATATTGCTTAAGAAGGTGCAGACTGTCCTCATTATATTTTTTATAATAGCTTACATACTATGGTGAGATTAAGAGCATAGTGTTCAATGCAAATTGTTGCTCACCAAATAGTCCAGCTGGCTATTTAGTTATAGGTTCTTGAGAATGTAAGCATTTTGTTATGGTAAAACAGTTAAGTTGCTAGTATGATATCATGATCCAATATCTCAAAGATAGGTCAGAAAATGATCTTATAGATTATCTTCAGAGTTCAGAGAGCATCACAGTGATGATACATGGGAGGTGATTGATTATATTTTGTTCCTTGAAGTTGTGCGTTATCGCATTTTGCCTTTTCCTGATAGAATTAAACATTGAGTTGGATGGTTCAGATAATTTGTCAGTTTGGTTTAAAAGATACTCCTAATCTGAGCAATCTTCTCGTCTAATGTCAAGGATTTAACTCGGTTATTGATTTCTTATGGACTTATAGTTTATTGTGGAGATGGCATAAATTTGTGTCGTGATATTTCCACAACCTGAAGTCATGGCAAGGCTTTACTCCTTAGTGTTAAGGTTTACTAAGAAGGATCATTTTTCTTTGATAACTAAAGTTCCCTGTGGACCAGTCAACGGACAGTTGGAACTCGTTGGATAAATAAGCCCTCCCCTCTATCCTTCTTCACTTAAGTGCTACACTTTTGTATGTGGCAAGGTACGAACTCGTGAAGTGTGGAGACTGAAGCCCTGGGATTGGTTTCCTAGGAAGAATCTTTAAGTTGCAAAGAACTTTCGCTACTTGTTGTCAACAGTACAATCTTTTTATTGTTGAGGACTTTAACCTTGTTAATGTATTTAGGTCCTTCCTTGTTCACAGTTCAATCAATTATTTCTACAGATATCTAGGGTGTATAAACCTTCTCAGGGACAAAGTTTAATGCTTTTTTATGCAGAACTTTTTTGCTCATACAGCACGTGCTTTCTGATATTCGACGTGCTAGCTCTAGTATTAGAAATGATTGCTTTCCTGATAAACTGTTTGAATATGCACGACTATGTCCAGGATCATGCTAAGAGGAGTTGAATGGATAGTTAGCGGGCAGTTATGTTGATTTAAGTGATATGATCATCTGTTACATGGATGTAAATTGTGCTGGGATCAACTATGCACTTTTTAGTTTACTTTTAAAGCTGGTCTGAGAGATTGTTTATCGTGAAGGTCTACCATATTGTCCCCTAATGATAAGTCATAAGAATTTCTAAATGATAGATGTAGATCATGGGGACTAATTATGTGATTTTGGTTGACTTATCACACTGGTCTAAAACAGTGCTTTTCTTAATGTTCTGCCTCATTCCCTAGTAGTAGACCAATCAAAAATAAATTGTTTGAATGTTTAACTATGCCTAGAATCTTCTTTCTAGGAGTTTAGGGGCAGAGTGCATCCAATATATTGAAACAGATTGTACCTGAATCATCTGTATGGTTTTGGTGACTTTTCAAGATGGTCTAAAAGAGTTATCTTGAAGCTCTGTGATATTCTCTAGTAGTTTCTACGAATTCCATGTTGATAATAGGAGTTTCATTTATCACTGAAGGCCATGCTTGATCCCTGAGTCAGAGAATCAAGGAATCTGTATATCTCTAGCTTGTGGAGATAGAAATGATGACATAGTTGCTTCTTTCCGTCCTAAACTGGAGATCTCTGGTGACATGGCTGCTTCTCAAGTATTGCTTACTCCAGTTTCTACAATGGAGCAAGCAGTAGACGGCTCTCATGTTCTTTACAGGAGAATGGGTTGCAGATACCAGAAGTTAGTAGCTTCTTGTGCCAAAGTGAGTGGCATCCGACTTCCAAAATCTGCTATAATTGATAGAGGGAAGAACTCCATGTTTGCTGCTGGTGATGAAACAACAATGGAACTGGTCTTACAAGAATTGCCATCTTTAAATGTGGCTCAGCGTATTAAATCTCTCAACCGTCCTATTCGTGATGTGAGGTATGCACGCCTCCAAAATTCAGGATTGCTCGGTTGTTTGAGCGAGGATAAATTGCAGCTTTGCTCACATAAGCTCCAATGAGAAAAGGTAACTTTTCATAGCTTGTTTTTGCTGTCTTTGATTGTTCTAGTTATGTTTTATGTTTACTCTGCGAAAACACCTCTGTTCTTTCTGCTTGACATCTCCTATGCCTTTATAAGGCTGAAAAAGAAGAGAGTTAATAGAGAGAAATGTATTGGTATTTGGGTGCATTAAAGTTTTGCTTGCATATTTCAACTCATTCATCAGACCTCCAAATTAGAGACTCTGTCAATTTGGTGCTAGAGTGAATTACCTCATCTTAACCTCTTGACTACAGAACGGTTTCCTCAGATTCATGTCTGATACCTATTTTTCGCCTATCGTCAATAATGTGATTTATTATTCTTACTTACTAAATGATGATAAGAGTCTCCAGTCAGTTTGATCTTGAAGTTTATTGCAGGTGGCTCCCAAGACTCTTTAAATCACCGGTATGTTGGAATGCTTCACGTGACCCATTTTTTGACTGTATAGTTTAGCATCTAATGGTGTAGAAATAGCATCTTTTTTCTTCTTCTTTGGTAGATTTAGGACCCCTGCTAGGAATTAAGGTCAGAGAAGCTTAGGCAGGTTGTGGAAATGACTAGTATTTAATAAGGAGTGTAAGTTCTGTACACTGTTGGTGTATGTGTAATTTAACATAAGGTAAAATTGACCTGTAACGACGTGTAAATCTTTGTATCAAGTTTCATAGAGTAAGAATTTTCCTTAACTAGTTAAATTGCAGGTACTGTTGTAAACACACACTAATAACTTATCTATTGGTGAAACAAAAGAGCTAACGTATAAGATAGACACCTCATTTGACATCTAAAAGAGTTTTTGATGGGAAAACATATAGTATTTTTTTTTTTAAATTTGTATTAACAATCTGGTGTTTAGATTGGTATGATCATTCTAGATTTGCGTTGTAATAAGAACCTAATTGAGGGGCAGATGCGTGAAGTTTGGTAACGGTAGGGGTATTATTAGTCTAATAGTATAATGAGGGACAAATTTAATTAATAAATAAAGGTAAAGTGCTATTTTTGACTTTCTTTTTTCGGTTTTAAGGGCGGAAGAATCTTTGTTATTTCACCATTTCGCTTGGTGGTATATTTGTTTCTATTGTGGTAAGACAGTATGGAAATGGTTAAAAAAAATATTTTTTTTTGAGTTTCACGCCTCAATTGTTAGTTTTTTTTTTTCCTACTGGATTCTTTATCCCTATTTACGTTAAAACATACCTCAAAGCTAATTAGGTAAATTATTTAGTTCTCTTTTTTATATCTGAATTATCACGTTCTACCCAATTATGTATGTTTTAATATATAATAGATGATAGTTCAAGTAAAAAAAAAAGAAGAAATAACTGATAGTTGAAGCACGAAATTCGTAAAAAAGTGTGTTTTTGACCATGTTGTTGGAAAAATTCACTCATGTTATAAATTGTAGATGGATGATAATCATAGGGTATTTTAGAAAACATTTAAACTTTAAAATTGTGATTAGACATGATATCACTTTAATATTTTACGTGCCATCCGATATCAAATCTTGTCGTAGAGGAGATTGCCTTTTTGAATTTAAAGTCACTTTGGTCCTTCCCAAATAACTATCAACTGATGCGTCCTTTGGGCATGAATCAATCAATGATAATAATAATAAAACCTCATCATCTTTCAAATCAGAAAGAGGTTGAGATTTGTGATTAGGCTGTGCATTATACAAGGACAGACTTGAATGTCCATTCAAAGATTTGAAAGTTCTAATATCTTAAAAGCTTTTGGGTGGTTAGTCTGACTAGTTCAAGTTCATGATACGTATTGTCTGTTTTGATTTGACAAATTTTATGAATCTGTCTCTTATATTATGCCATCGTCTAACCTAAAGTGCGTATACCATGTAGAATATGGAGTACATGCAGGTGTCATGTGTATCCTATCCCTTTTTCTAAAAATTTATCTGGCTAAAAGCCTCATCTAGGGCATAATGTTCCTTTTATTTAGGCAAAACAAGGAAAAAAATCCGACCTGCCGGATTCGAACCAGCGACCTAAGGATTACAGCACCAACTACAGTCCTCCGCTCTACCAACTGAGCTAAGGTCGGTTTGTTGTTGGTTCCTTCTCCTACAAGCTGAAGTAGAATGGGGAATATGTTCCCTTGGGACTTCAAGAAACTTTTACTTGACTGCGAGAGACGGATTCGAGATTTAAAGTTTATGGATTATACTTCAACATCAAGTTAATATTACACTAATGAGTGAGTTATGTTACTGTCAAATATCGAGATAATGGTCAAAAACACACTTGAACTATTAGTTTTTCGCAAGTTTTACACCTCAACTATTAGTTGTTCCCTTTTTCTACTTGAAGTATCACCATCTACGTATTTTACACACCTAGTTGAGTCGATAGTGATAGTTCATGTAGGAAAAGAGAATAACTGATAGTTGGCTTAATCATCTTCAATGTATTTTAATACAAAAATGTTGATAAATAGTTCAGGTAGCAAAAGAAAACAAATGATAGTTGAGATATGAAACTTATAAAAAAATAATAT